TTGAAATATAGAAACTATTTCCGATTAATTTTAATAATTTTTAAGTGGTCCTTCATTTATTGGGGGGCACTGTATGTGTTTGTGATGTCGATCACTTGTTGGGGATAAGCTGGATTTGGTTTTTTCTTAGGTTTAAAAAATGATTCACATAACTTGAATTGTTAATAATATTAAGATTGTTAATGTTTATTATTTTGAGTTCTTTTTCTTAAATTCTCTTGGAAAAGTCTGGTGTTCTCTTATTCTTGTTTAGTGTCAAGGTTGCCTGATTTATCATATGAAATCTGGCTAGTCAAGATTCTTCTAGTGTCTAGAAAGATGCAGAATTATATATATGACTGGCTAGGAGCTAGAAGCATTGATATTGACTTTTATAGAAGCTTACTGTAAATTGTAATACTTGTGTTTTTTTCTTTCTCTTAAAAATTTTATTTCTTTGAAAAAAAAAAACTAAGCAAAGTTGTTAGTAGCAAAGTTACATCTGCAAAGTAAATTTATTTTTTTGAACAGTTGTAATGTTTTTTAGTTATGGTTTCCTATAATATTTATGGATTTCTTGCATTAGAAAATTGTTTTTATATGAGGATGTTCTTAAAATTACTAAAAAAAGCAATTTTTAGAAACTGAAGGTTTTATGAATAGTGTTTTTTAATTAAAATATTTTTATATTAATTAGTAATATTATTTAAATATTATATATATTTTTTTAAATATTATGTTTTAAAAATATATAAAAAAAACTTAAGTTTTATAAAAACCAAGTTATAAAATTAATACATAATATAAAATTTTTAATTAAAAATAATTATTTAAAATAATAATAATATAAACTAATTGGTTAGAATGAAGTACAATTCAGTATATATAATATATTAAAGATAGATCTTTAAATTAAAGACAAAAATATAATTTAAATGTTCTTTACTATTTAAAAAGTTTTTTTTAATATAAAAACAAAAAAACTATTTATAAAGATTTTTTATAATTTAGATCACTTGATTCAAGTGTTTTTAAATTATGTTCCTATTAAAATAAAAAATAAACAATTATGTTTCTTTTAAAAAAACATAATAGATCTGCAAAATTTTATATATTAAATAATTTAAAAACTTATTCTTACTATATATTCAAATATGTTACATTTTTATTTGTTAACAATTATTGTAATACTAACTGAACAGTTGTTATAATATTATATCTTTTGCAAAGATCACAATTTTAATGTCTATTAAATTAGTATATGAATTAGCTTTTTATAAGAAAACAATATATTACAAGTTATAGTATCAGATATTATATTAATTTTTATTTAATTGTTTTTATATGTAATTGAACTGATATCTTATAACATGACTTGTAAAGCACTTAATCACTATACTATAGACCTATAGACTTCATATTATATTTAAAAATATATTATTATTTTATTTATTTATATGGAAAAATTATTTATATAAATATATATATATATATTTGAAGAATAATAGAATTGGTTTTTCTTATATTTAATAAATTTTTCTTTTATTAATTCTAATATTATATTAGCAATATATTTATAATTATTATTTTATTAAAAAATTTATATATTGTTGAATTTTTTATATATTTATTTGAACAAATGTTTTAATAAAATAATAAAATATTATTTATTGTTTTTTTTATATGAATATATAAAAACTATCCAGATATAAAATTTATAAGAATATTTAACAAATTTAGATTTGACTATTATTTTTCAAACTTATATTAAATTTATATTATGTTATAAAATATCAAAAATATTATTTTATTTAAAAAATATATTATTGTTTTATTATTTTCTTGGATTTATTCAAGACAATAAAGTTTATAGCTTTTGTTAAAAAAAAATTATAAAAAATAAAAGATTGTAATATATTGTATATAGAAAAATAATAAGTTTTGGATGGGTTTTTTTGAGAATTTTTATTAATTTAAACTTGTTTTCTGGTTTTTTTTATAACCATTTATTCAAAATGCTTTCTTTAGATTAAATTAAGATGATATAAATAATCTGGATATGGCTTTTGCTTGAAATAACCTGTTAAGATAAACTGAAAATCCTATTTAAAAAGTATTTTTCTTAAATACCAAGTTATTTTTTGAAGTTTATTGACTTTTTTATATTTTTGCTTCTAAAATACTTAACAATAAAATATTTTTCTATCAAAGTTCTATATGTCATACTTGTAGCACTAATATTTTTTTTTACTTTAAAATAATCAATTTTAACTAAATTTTCAATAATTTAATAGAATTTGCAATCCAATTACATAATTTTTAAAAAAATCAAAAGTGTAAATTTTTTTGTCAGAACTGTATAATACCAATACTCTTATTATTACAATCGACATATCTGACTACTTTAATAACAAAAACAAAGCTAAAATATTGAGAGGATATATACCATTGTGGTATCCAACCTGATCTACTGTTTTGATATGAAAAATATCAAACTTAAAATTATCTGGTAAAGTTTAAATAATCGTATCCTAAAAAACAATAACTTATCTAGCAAGTTTTTTATACATTACAACAGGATCAAAGAAATTTCAAAGGGCTACCATGTTGAATGAGTTAGGCACAAATTCAATATTTGTATGATGTTTCTGTTTGTTGCGGTGAAATTGAAATATGTCTAATGGAAGCATTCAACTAATAAAAGGAATTGTAATGATTGAGTTAACTTATGATAGACACTCGTGTGCGATTATTGAGGAAACTCACTAAAGGTTTGAAAAAGTAAAGGAATCAGAAGTTTTTAATGGGATACCAGTATTTAATTCGTGTTTCTGATACATAATATCATGATAATTATTTTTTTCTACTCGAAAATAACCATTTCCACCCCAGAGGGATTATGAGATGACTATGTCATTTGATGTCTTCTACTTTGTTCATTATTTTGGTTCAATTAAATTTCTACGAATCAATAATTGTCTTCACTTTCGGATTTATGTGTGAACTATGGAAGCTAAGAGTGAACATGTCTTTTACATAATAAGGGAATTGAATAAATAAGATCCTGATTATTTAATATAATTATTGTAGGCGAGTTTATAAAAACACACCCATAACCTTAATGAGATTGTGGGAAAGTAAATATACTGTATCTCTATATAACATCTTTTTGTTTACCATAAGCCTAGGAGAATGTGCCCTTTGTGATGAAAAGTTAGTAACATCACAATCACCATAATAAGAGCGCTAATAAGACATTAGAAAAAGATATTCGGAACTGCGCGGATTCTGCCCTATCATAGGTAAGTACTGTATCCTGATATCAAATAAATCATCATGTATTTTTGTTGTATTGAAAAAGAAATAGAGCTATACTGCTTTTCCTGTAATAAACTAGTAGTGAAAAATAAAAGTGATTTATTAATATTTTATTGACGTGGGTAGTTGATTTTCCTAAAGTTGATCATTGCACACTGATGTATTAGAGCACAAAGTTTTTACAATTGGTGAAAGAGGAAAATGAATGTTTAGACAAATCAGACGTTTGGAAGCTTAGTCAAACTTGATCGATAATTTGCTTTTCAACGTTTACAATATGCTGCGGTTCTCCAAACGTAACAGAAGATATGAATAAGTAATGGTTTGATAATAGTAAATAGGGTAGTCATGATCAGATACAGTATTAGCAGCGTAGAACTATTTCCATTCTGTTTTTTTATAGTATTAATAAAAGATCTGAGTGAGAATAATATAAAATCATCTGTTTATCTTACAATGAGTTAGTATACTGTACATCAGAAAAAACATTAATCTGTATGTACTGGTAATAAAGTTAAGTATGGCATTTTCTGAAATAAACATAAACCCGAATCTGATTGTATGTTCAATGATATGTGTGCCTTGACTAATATGAGCTATGGATATCAAATCAAATGACTTAAACATGCAAAAGAAGTCGGGAAAAAGATGCGAAAATATGTCTTCATTAACACGTGGGTTGCAGAGAGGTTTGTTATAACAATGTTGATCATAAACATTAAATTACAGTATTGTAGCATGTATAAGTGTGCGACCACTCACAGATTAATTGATTGCATTGAGAAATTGGAAATTCAACGCTTGATTTGTAGTCTATAGTTGAATCTTAACAATACTCGCATTTATTTAAAATCTAAATTTATTAAATTTATTTTATTCATCGCCCTATATTTATGAAAATATTACTTTATCGTTATCTTTTTTAACTAACGTTCTCCGAGAAGTTATGTTCGACATCACCATGGCCCACTTCCTGACATCCTTTTACATTACTCGGATCGTATGTTTCACAATATTTGCATCTACTAGTGCAACCATATTCTTTGGATTCCCTTTTACATTTATTACACGTTTCGTAGCAAGGGGCTACATTATCATAATGCTTGCATTCGGAATAATATTTCATGCATCCCATCGCTGACGAGTCTCTATTGCAACAAGCGTAATATGTTGCGCATCCAGTTGAATTGGGATCCCCATTTCGACAGCAATCCCAATATCCAGGTACTAAATTAAGTCTATTAAAATCTACTATTCCTAAAGTAACGACACGACCAGTCCATGCCCAAGCGCTGTGATCCGCCACTTCTTCTGTTCTGGCGTTATGAAAATAGCTAGAATGACGGCTAACCGTTCCCGCCACATGTTGATGGTTAAATTGTCCGCGATGGCTCCAACTTGTATCTGGATGAACATTATAAATCTTATGACAACGAGGACCCGCAAACCTTGGATCGGCTATTTCGAGACAATTCGAACATTTAACTGGGTATAACTTAAGAGGAACAGGATGTTTGATATGATCCATCATTAGATATTCATACATTTGGCGGATTTGTTCTGGTTCCGTCTCTTTAAAAACACTTAGCTCTTTTAATTGGTCGCTAGTAAATTTGCCATATACTGTTTTATTTCTTTCGTCTAATTTTTCGAACAATTGTATATTACATTCGCCGACGCCTGAAAGCAAATCCACAGAAGTCTTATGTTTTTCTTGCGCTACTTTCATAGCCGCTTCACGGGCGCCCTTTTCAACTTGTAGTCCTTTAGTAATAATAATGGTGTTATCCCACACATTTTTGTCAAAGTTTTCCGCTATAGTTTCTATAAATCGTGCTTGACGCTGGAGCGACGCTATAGCTCTGACTTGAGGTGTTACAAACCACAATATCGTTGTTATTTGAGAAACTTTTGCTTCTACCATTACATGAATAATCGAGCGCGCAGTTTCTTCGTCATGTTTATTCACATCAGAATCGTCGAATCCAGGTGTATCAATGTAGATTCCGTCTTTAATATTAAAAACCTTAACGATTTGGGTTTCTGATTCGCTAGTATGTCCGACTTTTGCTTCTTCAGCTCCAAAAACAGTTGCTGTAAAGCTTTTTCCCAGTCCCGTTAGTCCAACGGCAAGAATGCAACGCTGTGATTATTAATACGATGTTTAAATATGAGTTTAGATTTTGTTGAAACGATATAAAATAAAACCTATACTTACCATTTCAGACATTTTTCTTGTAGTTACAAAATCGAAGATGCCTTGATTTCTGAGCACATCACATCGCGAAATTTATATTGATAATGTGGGTATCACCAGTAATAAGAATTTCCAACTCGGGAGCAGTTGTCTCTGTTGCACCGCATTTAGTCGTTTGTCTGTTGAACCGTAGTCTTTGTTAGTCAGAGCTCTCGAGAATAGTGGCGATTTTTTAATAATGACCGAAGCGTGTATATTATTTCTAGATTAGTTTTGAATGCCATTTTTTTTTGTTTGAGAGATAGAGAAATTGGATAATGTAAAGCGTAGTGTAACTAAATTAATTGTTGACATTGCATTGTTTCACAATCGCAACGTTTTATAATCAAAACTATATCCCATAAATTGTCATGAAAGATGCTATATAAATTCTTACGGTATTAACTGCTTGTGTATAGAGCATTATGCCTTCGCTTGATTATCGTCTATGGTTTGAGAAATAATGAGAAGCTTTAAGTCGTGTATTTTTAGTAATTTACGTAATATTGACGAGATTAATAGTAGTAAGATTGTACAACATTTTATTGTAAAGGTACCAATCTCTATTTTATTAAGAGAATCGCATCAAATACGTAATCGTCCGACTTTCCAGATCTGTTCTTGGTTTACCAAATTTGACTGCAATGGCAAAAATAGTTTACAAGCATCGTCTTTGTATCGAAATAAAGTTTACCATTGAACAATAAAATTAAACTTTGTTAACCTTATGTATCCAGACAAATCATCGAGCAGTTGCAGATAACAACAATATTCTTATGGCGTAACCCATCAACTATTCAGCATTCTAAGAACGTATACTGTAGAACAAGAAATCCAGAACTGGAAACAATTAGGATTTTATCATGTGATATGACTATTGTTAGTCATATTGTTACCATATATAATCTGATTGACGAAATACATGTATATCAATTTCAAACATTTTGTCAATTCTGTTATTAAACATCGTTTATAATCGCGCCATTCACAGTACATACACATATGGAGTATTGATAGTAAATATAAATTTTGGTTTTTATATTGATTTTGAAGAAAGAAAAAGTTATTGTGTTATTTATTGCAACAGGCACTAAATATAAAATTTCATTTAAATAATTTTTACTGTTATTACATTAACAATTTTTATGTTGTTAGGATAAATCTGCAAATCTGTTATTATGTTGCAAATATAAATTGGGTTATTTCAAAAGAAACTTTATAAGGTAAGTGAATGTGTTAGAAAATGTTGTGAGTAATTGAATAAAAAATACGTTATTGCCTATCTTTATTGCTTGTATATTTATAACTAAATCCTTAAAATTTCAAAAATACAAAAATTCCAAAAAATTTTCATGTTCTAATTAAGTAATACTGTGTTATTATACTAATACATATAATTTATTTTTTTACTTTTTTATAATGGGATAAATTAATTGTAACTTATTATAACAAATTAATTAAAAAAAAAAAAAAAAAAAACTCTTTCCCACAACATCTCCATCCATAGAAAATTGCCTTTTTAGGAAGCTTCTTTCTTCCAAG